AGTCTCTGGTTTCGCTGCGCGGACGATGGGGCCGTGTCAGTGCGGGTGGCGTTTGGCGGTGGCCTAGAACCCGTTTGCACCAGTGCTGGAAGCTGTGAAGCGCGTCAGCGCTTATTTACGATTGTTTGTCGTTTACCTCCTACAACAGGGGTGTAGGCAAACTGGTTTGGCATTTCGCCAAACCCAGCCAGGGTTATAGAACTGGTTCGGCATTTCGCCAAACCCAGCCGCTTTTGGCCCACATCATCCGCCGCAGCACCAGACTGTACAGCATTCTACACATTTGTACAATTTGCTGTAGAAGTTAAACGTCAAAGGAGTAAGAAGGCTGTAAATGGCCAATGTGAAACGAACAAATAAAGTTCCTGGTAAGAGTCTGTGGGGAAGTGATATTAACTCTAGCCTGCGTCACAGTAGTGCAAAAAGTTTCGATGTTCAAGGAGCCCGGGATGCTTTGAGTAGAAAGGCTGGAAGCATACGTAAAGCTCCACTTTGATATTGCGCAGTTTGACCCACTCATTCCAAAGAGAAAGAGTGGGGTGTCTAGCGCATCGGCAACTTCCGAATCGATACTGTACGAACGATAACGGCGCGCACTCCTGCTGCGCCGTCCCACATTGTACAGTGCTCCCATGTCATGCGTTTTGTGCACTGGATGGACCGCTCCCGAGCGGTCTTGTCGATTCCTCGTAGAGTTGGCTATTTTTCGTGGAAATGGTGGGCAAATGTTTGGCAGTCATAAACTGTGCGACTTCGTTACCCTCATATCACTAAGCAATACTCAATTATTACTTCGGAGAAATCGAAGACAGACGACAGCATAAGACTAGTGGAGAATGGTGGGGTTGCAGCGGGCTAGCAATCTTTCCACTCCTGGGTTGATTCATTGATATCGTTTCTCCAAGAGGAAGAAACGGTAGCATCGGTTAGTCTCTTTAAACCACTGTAAGACAAATATGCGAGAAGGTGATAGCGAGAAGGTGATGTAGCGGCAAGGGGCATGCTTACTGTGCGCGCGGTCCGGGCGTCAAATCTCGGATCGGCTCGCGTCCAGGCCAACGATTCCTTCTACCCTTCTCGGACAACGAAATGGTGTCGGATCCGTCTGGGTGGATAGCACTGGCCGGCACAGCAGCTGCCCCTGGAATTGTACTGTAACACATCGCATTCAGTAAGCCACTACAATTCTGAATGGAGGTAGGATGCATGCCGCATTCCAAGGAAGGATTGGTCAGGGGCAGGTACTTCATCTTTTTTCGGTCAAATATGCAGTCAAGTGCCTGCACGAATCTTTTTCTTCTTCTTCTTCTCCCTATCGTTAGTCCCGCTCCGTCGTCACAGGTTTCCGGCTGTTTCCGCTGTTCTTGTTAAGACGTCGCCACTTGTTCCGATCCACTGCATCTTCTGCTGTGGCTTTCACTTCAGTGAGGTCCCTTTTGATGACGTCCCTCCATCTATTCTTTGGGTCCCTCGGTGGTCCGCTTGCTCTTCTTCTACTTCGAATTCCAATGCCTTCCTTATTAGGTGGTCTTCAGGCCTCCTTAGCCCATACCATCGCAGTCGCTGCTCTCGTGCCTTCAGCTAGGATCGGAGCCGTCTGTTGCTGTGACCCCCCCTGATTTCTCGTTTCTGACTCTTACTGAAGTCGTGTCCAACGGCTAGGCCTGATCTCAGACAAGTGCCTCATTTCAGCTGAGTGAGAGCTGGCTTCCATGTCCTGCCAGTTGTCGTTCCGCCAGCACTCACTGCCGTAGAGCATTGTAGGCCTTACCACCGCATGGTACACCTTGCCCTTGAACGTTCTTGAGCACCGCCGGCGTCGCTCAGGATGCCAGTGGACCCTCCATTCATTCAGGCTGCATTGATCCAAGTGCCTGCACGAATATCGAAAAGGATGATAGGTCGATGTGGCTGTTTTAAATAAGAAAGATACCTGCTGATGCTGCGTTGGCGCAGTTGTCGACGGGGGGCATTCTGCTTTCCATAGACGTGCCGACCCACCTAGGTAGCTTTTTCTCGAGTTGACACGTTTTAGGATGGTGGCTAGACGATCCTGCACCAGCTTCACAAGAGTTCTTCAACAATTCCTCCACCAGCGGTGGATTTGTGACGCGGAACTAGGGAAGCAATGTAGCTTAAAAAAGCCCGCCCCCCCGTCGATATATAACCAGCGCCCTGCTGATGGTGCCTTTGATTTGGTGATTCGGAATCCATCCGTGGGAAGCCTGTTTTTTAAAAGTGTGAGACAGAATTCTATCAAAATTACAATCAAGTCGCAAAAACATGAGGTCAACCACATTACCGTTGAGTTGCGGTACTTTATTCGAACCAACCTTATGTCCGTGGGAAACAACATACGTATACCTACCTACTGCCCCCAAAACGCCTCCCTGGCCTCTCTGTCTTCCGCCCAACAAAGTATAGCAAAGCGCATTCGTAATTACCTGCCGCGGAGAACATTAGAAGGTTTTTATACTCAATATCCCTGGGATTGCGGTGGGAGATAGATATATATATTCAAAGCGGTTTTCTCAGGCAGGCTGCGCTTTACCGGTGAGATATTCTCTTTTCGACGATTGTAATCATGACCTTGTCTAACAAAAGCCAAGATGACAGTTGCCTTAAATGACAAATCACATGGAAAGCGCATCCTACGCTCTGATGAAGTTACGCCAACCCACATTACAACATAATTCACGCGGGATATTATCCATTATGGGCAGGAGGTGCGTGCAGCTGACAGTTGGCGCGCTCACACTCGCGCGGGGCTGCATGTTTCAGGTTCAAATCCTCCGGTCCGCCACCAAACCTTCTACTCCTAGGGGAGGGTAAATTGCTACCAGTATTCGTCAGGGAGCGATATTAAGACACTGACGTTTTCAAACATCGGCTGCGCCACTGCAAAGTCATTGTTGATAGAGCACATCGCATTCCATAAGCCACTACGATCCTGATGGATGTAGAATGCGTGCCGCATACCCACAAATTGACCAACGGCGAAGAATTTATCCTTTATCCATTTGTCCTAAGGTGCAAGGGTCAATGCCTCTTTAGTGACAGCTTTTTATGCCGCTGTGGCAAGTTTCCACCTACTCGGGTGAGAGAAGCGCAAGGTTGCACTAACGCACAATGTTTGCATCATTTCTGAGGTCGAACTTTTTTTTGAGTGCCGTCCAGTCACCGTCAGTTTTTCCTGGGTGGACTCGCCGGCGTCGGCGTCGGGTTTGCCCAATACAAAATCATTTCCTTGAATGTCATATCTTTCGTAACATTCCCCACTATCTGTACGTTGACAGAAAGACACGAGTGAGTTCCTTTCGCATGTGTGTCAAAATGTACCTTCATCTTCAAAGACGGTCGTTTCCAAGTGCAAGGTGAATGGATCCGCAGCTACTGCAGCTCATCAGTGTCACTTCCCCTGCTGAAAAGTGCACTGGAAGCGGGATGGAGGGTAGTGGTACGAGTGCGTCTCTATCGAAGTCGTCTGTTGGAGATCCTCAGCGTAGGGATCGTCTTTGGTCGCTCAAGAGAAGGGGGTCGTTTTATTTTTGATAGAAGGGCTTTTAATTCCTAACTTTATTCAATTTTCCTTTTTCGATTTTTTCTCGGTTTTACGCGTGATATCGCCCTCCCCCCTCCCTCGCTCAGCGCTAGTCATATGGGGTAAAGTGAAGAAAAAAGGAGAATATTCTGAAAAAAAATTACGGTAGCCAAGAAAGTTGTAGGAAACTTAAAAAGTGTGGACAAGATGCCGAACGGGAAAGGAGGGTCGTACTAGAGGAGCACATTTCGAGAGCAGTCGTATTTTGCAAAGTATTTCCCCAGTGGTGAGACGTGCTTTGGTCTCCATACTCCCCCGCGCTATCCTTGATGTGCAGCACTTGTGTCAGTACCAAGATCTTGCTGCGAAACACGCATTCTGCGATAGAGAACAACCAGAAGTGAGAGGGCGCAGACAAGTAGCGAGTTTAGCTATGGTTACTCGTGTTGCTGATCGTGTGCACTATTGAGACGGCACACAAGAATCACTAACCTCCAGTCCCGTTGCTGTGCACTTTTAAGCGGAGAAAAAGGCACACTACAGCTTCTGACATATTCCCCCCCCCCTCCCACACAACAACTATCAGAATCCACGAAGGCGAGTGTGCGGCTTATCATAAAGAAATGCTGCTCCTGTGCCGCTGTTCCTGTGAGACGCGTGCCACCATTGCGGCACATATAATATTGTGAACGCTATTTTTCACGCCGCCGAGTTTTTTTTTTGCCCAGTTGGGGAGTTTACAAATACTCACTACTACCTATGCCTTTGATTGTGGTTTTGGACGCGGGGTACCGCTGAGATCTTTCTCTGGAAGGGACCGCTGACTCGTCCAGAATCTCCAGCGTAATGGTATTCCATGGTTGCACAGGAAATCGAAAGCAGAACCGGCGCTGTCACGATATACTTCTGACTGTCAGGGCCCATCGTTGTTGGGGAATCCCCAACAGAGGGGTCGTATTTGGGCTGAGAAAAATTCATTTTGATAGTTGATTCTTCTCGCTTCACGGACGTTGTAAAAGAGGGCGTCGTATTTGCGTCAATTGTGGGGAGGGGGGAGGGGGCGTCCAGGTCATGGGACAGAGGATGGAGGGGGGGGTCGTACCACCCCCCAAAAAAGGGGTTCGTACGGACTACAATCCGACTAAAATCCCCAACCAATAATGTGCCCTGCTGACTGTATAATGCATTTCGAATAAAATTCTTTATCACAAAATATCTTCTGATGACATAAAGAAGTCACTATTCATTGTACAACTGCCGGTAGATATAGAAGGGAAAGGAAATGATTACAGATGAAGTGAAATAGAAGAAAAAAAAACAAAAAAACGCACAAACTGAAAGTACCGGTGAAAGGAAGTATTCGAAAAGGTAGTCCTAGGTATCTCTCCCAAGCGATGCTAGAAATGGCGCCAGAGTTTGTTCATGGGATAGAGGAGAGCGCTTCTTATTTCGAGGTCAGCTAAGCTGTGACATCGGCCCAATCGGTTTCATCTTCGTCCGGTATATCGGCTCCATTGTGGTCCTTTCGAACCACCTTTTTGTGCTTCATTCGTCGATTTTGGAACCATGTCTTCACCTGAAACCAATTGCAGTTCAACATGTGTGGGCCTACTGGTTTCATTTTCAAAGATGGGATTATGCAAATCAGAGGGCTTCTATATTTTGTAGAAAATCATCTTTTTGCTCATTCTTCCAGCTATGACGCAAAATTAGTGTTTAAGGACAAACTGTGCACTCACGTCCATGGATACTGGTCCCTGCTGTGTGGGAGGGGGGGGGGGGGCGGTGGAGGGGGAATACGTTAGAAACTGCAGTACCGTGCCACTTTCCGGTCGAATGCACAAGAGTAATGTGCTGTCTATATAGCGCCGCACTGCCGCGCGTCTACCCATAGCCAAACGCGCTGCTTGCCTGCGCTCTCTCACTTCTGGTTGTTTTGAAAAACTGACTGCGGGATGATGATATGGAGGCAAGTGCTCCACGTTGATATTGCGTGGGCGGAGTATGAAGACGGCACTCAAGTACTATTATCATATAGCCCCGTTCTCCTGGGTTTCAAGCGGAGAAAGTGGCACGCTACTGCGGTTGCTCACCCATTGGTCCCACCCATGGCAAGGAGCGTCCTCGAAGGTGAGTGTACGAATCTCCACTAACACGTTGACGACAAGCCATTTTTCTCCCGATTTGCGCGTGGGACGGCACATTTTTCTACATTGAAACTTAGTAATTTCCAAATAAATGATCAAAATGTATCGAGAAATGCAAGAGACGAGTATACCAATCTCGAATCTTTGACACAATTTAGCTTTTATTGCTCCAATCTTCCAAAATCAGGCCATTTTTTACCAACTTCTTCCTCTGGAGGCAGATTTGACTGAAAATTTCTCCCGGGGTGGTTTGATCTCCTGAAGATCAATGTCGCATCCCCTTGGTCCAGAAAGTTTGTCCTTGAACTAATTTTATGAAAAGAAAGTGAAACTATCGCGCAGACTTAGTTATATAATAACTGTCGGACAGCATTGGGTGATGCCCTTCCACAAGACACAAGACAGAAGACTGGCTGTCGTCCCAATGACGGAAATCGCCGTCAACGCGTCAATTGGATATGATGTTCTTGTTTAGGGGGTCGAACTACCCCTAGGACAAGATTTTCAGTGAATGATGCACGCTAGGGTATTTTGGCGCCGGCGCTGCATGGTGCGTTGCCCGAGCGCCCCATTTCGTATCAAGATGAAAATGTGGATATTCGGTTGTTCGCGGGGGTCAAGCTGTCACCAGAAGACAAGTTTTCAGGCGCAAATTTGGTCGAGTTATGGTATTTGGCGCACGGGCGCAATGTGGCGCGGGCGCCACGCAGTTCGTGGGCCGAAGCGACTTGTGGTCATGTGCGTTCCAGAGGACAGCTAGCTATTAACGCCTAGGAAGATTTCGGCGTGCGAGGGCGGGGGGGGGGCATTCCGTATTTGACTGGGTGCATCCCCTGTTCCAAGTTTACGGTCTCACTCTGGCGAAACCGTGTGACATGCCCTGTGAAGCTTGGACAATATCGTCAGCCATCCATGGGAAGAACTGCCAACATCGAGGCGAAGCTGTCTATATAGGTTGAGACACGTTCGATGGGAAGTTAAGCAAAGTGCAAAACTCCTCACCCCGCCCTGTCGAGTTCGCCTATTACGTCGTCGAAAAGGGGGATCAAGTTCGCACGAAGTCGTTGTCTCCCACACAAGGTTGATAACGCTTTGAGTGGTCCGTAGATTATTCCCTTCGGGTCGAGCACACCTTCCATCTAAGTTGATTGATGTGAAGAGTGAGAGCTCTGATTTCAATACTATTTGATCCCGCAAGTAATAGGGCCAAAAATATTACACTTTGACGTACCCCCCCCCTTACTCTCTAAGGCTCGACTCGACCGGATATAATGACAATCAGTTCTAGCTCCTATCAATCGGTTTGTAATGCCCTAGCTGTCCGCGGGCTACAGTGGGAAAACCAGCTGGCCCTTAGGGGGATGGAGATGGCCCAGGCCTAAGGCATGATTGAACCGGCAGAAAAACCTGACTGGTTGGGATAGGGATTGCCATCAGGGTACAGCATCGTGATGTGTGAAACGGTGGTGTAGGTAGGGGTCCCCTCCTCCGAGAGAGGGTGTCAGTACGACCCACCTAAATGGAGGTCTCGGTACGACCCCATCCCTCCCCAACACCTATCTACCAATTTCCCCACATTTTTCAGTTTTTGACGCAAACGCCGAGCGGGGCTAGGGGACGGAGGGTATATAGCCGATATGAAACGGGAAAATTTCCCAGATTTCCCCCATTTTTCTACACGTTTTCCGAAACTTCCCGAAAATTCTTTTTCTACCCAAAAATTTTGCTGTCGAGCGGGGTGTGGGGGGGGCAGGAGGCATATAGTACACATGAAACAGGAGAAATCACGCGAAAAGTCTACAACCAGGAACAACGCAGCAAATTGCTCTTGAAGGCACATACGGCCCCCCTCTCCCAACAACCAAACACGACCCCTCTCTTCAGCGGGAAAGTACGACCTCCCCCTATATGTTCCACACACGATGCTGTACCCTGACTGCCATCAATTCCACCAGAATCAGTTCAGCTTAGCTTTAGACCACAACCGTTTCAGTCCCCTACTGGCATTCTATTCCCAGGATTTCCCAGCGATTGTAACACCACATACATACTACTCGTTCACGATTTGGCGCGACCTGTCCGAGCCGGTTAATCAGGCCGTCGGTGATCATTTCCAATGCTAAACTGATCGCCAACTCCTGTTCCGCTTCAGCACATAATTCGCTTTCAAAATCGTATTGCCTCGATGTTGACTGCATCAGCGCTTGGCGGATCATCCTCAATGATGAATAACAGATTTTTATACGCCATAGCTCGGAATATGGTCATAGCGTCTAACGGGTGTGCGAGAATGTCTGGGGCAGGCAGGTATTATGGAGTAAGCCTAAACGTCTCCCACTCTACACTTTGGAA